TTAACCTTCCAAGAACGTTCCGGGAACATCAATATAACCTTCTGGTTACGTCAGGAAAACTTGCCGTTTTAACATGCAGGGAACGTTTTACGGAGAACATTCTGGTAACCTTCTTATAACGCTCAGTTAACCTTCCAAGAACGTTCCGGGAACATCAATATAACCTTCTGATTACGTCAGGAAAACTTGCCATTTTAACATGCAGGGAACGTTTTACGGAGAACATTCTGGTAACCTTCTTTAAACGTTCAATTAACCTTCCAAGAACGTTCCGGGAACATCAATATAACCTTCTGGTTACGTCAGGAAAACTTGCCGTTTATACCAGTATATTACGTTGTGTTGCAACATTCAAAAAAAGTTCATACAACTTAAAACAAACGTTCCCAGAATGTTTAGGGAACCAAAATTTGTTAGCTGGGTTGGATCACTACGGGTGAGCATGTTGGAGATATTTTGTGGTTTCAGTTTTGTGTTCTTGGACGTTGGGGCGTCAGCCATTAGGTGTGCTAGCCGCTCCCCCCGCCGATCTCCACAAGGGATGTAAGGACTCTAAAACTTCACCAGAGCCTCCCTCGGCATGAGGGTGAGTAGATAATGGCTGAATTTTCATTTTTGGGTGCACTATCCCTTTAAGACACAACCAGTAACTCCATCATGCCTCCTCCTGATCTGCAGCACCTCCACTGCCCAGCCTCCCTGCTCCTCCCACACCTACAAAATAAGATCAGTCCATTCCATACTCTATGTTTGACAGTTGAATAGCTCTGCAGTGCTTTAAGATAAACAGTTCCCTACATCCAAGCTGTTCCTTTTTTTTTTTTAAACAAAATAACTAATGAGTAGTACTAAGTAATGATGAGTATAGTATATATAACTAAGTCCTTGTTGCTGTCTCAAGGGGATTGCTTTGTCCCTTTAAGAGGGTATCCTTCAGTGTTTGTTACCTTGATGCACTATATACCCAACTATGACCCAACAAAGTCATTTCGTAATGACCCAGCACTGTTTACACTAAATAAGGATATTTCTAAATGACCCAACACTGTTTACACTATATAAGGTTATTTCTTAATTACCCAACACTGCTTACAGTATATGTTTTACCAACCAGTTACAGGGTTACAGGTTTTTTTTTTGTTTTTTTTTTTAAAGATGGTAATAGACTTAATAAAATAATCAAGAAGGCCCAGCCTGCTGTTGGTCTGAAGCTGTACACTCTGGAGGAGGTGGTGTCTGATAGAGTGAGAGATTATGGACAATACCACCCATCCCCTCCATAAAACACTAAACTTGAGCAACAGATTCATTCTGCCCCGCTGCTCCAAGGACCACTACAAAATGTTGTTGTTTTACCTGCGCACTAGCTGGGGGTTAGGGGGGTGGGGGTATTTATGTATTTATTTTGGTATTATATGTTTCTGTGATCTATGTTTTTGTCCTTGTGTCTTGAAAATTTTATCAGTTGCTATGACATTTTATTTTCCTTTTGGGGATAAATAAATATCTATCTATCTATCTATCTATCTATCAACATTATATATGGTTATTTCTTAATGATCCAATACTATTTACACTATATAAGGATTTTTCTTAAAGAACAGGCAGCTGGAATGGACTCTTCAGGTGGCATAAACACAGGAAGTTTAGGTGTGTGTGTGTGTGTGTGTGTGTGTGGTGCTTGAAAAATGTGACTGCAATGAAATGCAGCATGCAACTTGTACTGACCTCTCCCAACAGAGAGTTCATTAAAATTATCTGCTGTGACACTAAAATCAATGCTTCAAAGCTTTAATGCAAGGACTTAGTTGAAAAACAGAATGCATGTCAACTAGCATAAAGGACTACAGGGAGTGACAGTAAAATACTGCATAGGAGCTATAAAGAATAAGACAGGATATCAGCCTGAGCTTCTTGGATGTTTACACCTCAGCAGAGGCTTCCTCTCCATGGTGGATGTAATCATTGATGAAACGCAGATGCTTGGACACTTGGGTGTAGACCCCAGGGTGGCCTTTTAGACCACAACCATCTGGACTCCCATAACTCATGATGCCCACCTGCACGAAGCCACCAGCTGCACGACACACCAGCGGGCCACCATAATCCCCCTTTGGAAGCACAACAGACACATACACACTCATTGAGTAAATCTTTCCAGTTTGTCACATTTTTATTTGAACTTGTTAGTTGACACACAGCAGATAAATATAGCCATTTAGGAGAAATATTTCAGTAGTTGGGATATCGTTAGACTTTAAAGAGTCATTGTCAGTGGTGGAAAAAGTACTGCACCAACAGAGCAGTCAGTGTACAAATACTACATTACAAGTCCTGCACTCAAAAGCCCCTTTTACACTGCCAGATTTTCCACGAATATTGGGCCGTTTTGCTGGCAAGCTGCGAGCGTTTAGACATGCAGAAGTGGATTGGCGAGTTGATCCGTGGTGCCCAATTTTCCGCCTTGTAGGGTCGTCACATTGGCGGAACACTTTTGGTTTAAAAAGACCGAGGCGGCCTTCCTCAACGGGAGGAGCTGTTGAAGACTTGTGGGAGGAGCTGTTGATGACACCGCATGTGCAAGCCACTGGCGGTGGATAAACAGGAAACAGCTGATAGCAGGAATTAGCGAGCAGCTAGTAGCAAGAGAAAAACGCAAACCTGAAAGACACTGTAATGATGAACAACTGAGGAGACAAGGAATTGCGCACTACGGTTGGGTCGGTTCTTGGTAATACCAATTCGGTTTGGTACTCCGTCTTGGACCGTTTTTTTTTTTTTTTGAGGCCGACCGGACCTTATACTCGGGCGGAACGTACGCGGAGCGGACTACGCGGAGGTCCGCCTGGTAAAAGTGGACGTCCCTGTGCACGCAAAGCATGACCATGCGGACTCCGCTCCGCGCATCCAGTGTCGCACAAAAGAAATCCGGTATTACCAACTTGATACAGTTTTTCACAAAAACCGGACCGTTTTTTTTTTTTTCCTCATACCAACCCAACCTTATTGCACACCCTCCTTGTCCTCGCAAACGAAGAGGCCATTAACCGTCAGATGACAGGAACGGTGAAGAACGGGCCGATTTACGAGAGAATCGCCGAAGGACTGACTAGCCGCGGCTCCGCTCCCACGTCACTGTTTATGTCACGCTGAGCTACACGTTTTGTTACTTGCTCACACCCCCCCATTGCCCCAAAAAAGGCGCATTCTGTATAAACAAAAGTAGGTAGGCAGCATTTTGCCGCACTCTCTGATTTTGTTTTTATACTGCCAATGCTGAAAAAAGGCTGATTGGGCTTTCCTGCAAATTTGCACGACACAGACACAGTGTTGACTGAGCCCTGACATTTGCAGTATTTCGAACTGGGTGTCTGTGGTGACATTCCCGGAAGAAATCACAAGTGGTGCACAGTTAGTGATGCATTTTCCATCACTCAGCAGTGGTTGGTCCACCAGAGAGGTTAGGTGGAGCTAACATGGCAGACTTGCTCTTCGACTAACTCGTGTGTGAAGCAGGTGGCATTCTGTTTTTTTTTTTTTCCAGTCTCTACTAGCATTGTGAGTAAACTGTTATTATGATCAAACAAACAAAACTACAAAAAAAGGAAAAGAGTGATGACTACAGATAATGAAACTTCAAAAAACAAGTGGAAATCCAATACGAAGAAAAAATTTGACGTTCAGAAGAATGCCAGCTGCCACACTGTTTAGATCTCTGTGAAGGGAGATCCAAAAACATGCCTGCAAGTCTTGCTCATCCCTGTAGGTGCCGCCAAAGAGAACAAAACAGAGGTGTCTGAGATTGTAACTTTCAAGTATCAAAAATGAAAGAACTCTCTGTAGTAAAGTGGTGGGTAGAGTACTGAGAATTAATACAGAGCCAAAAGAAACAGATTAATAAATTACTCAAAGTGAAAGTTTCTTTTAATTTTAATAATATGAACATGAAGCATTAATGTTACACATGAAAATAAACAAACCAGTAATAATTACATTTCACCTACAGTATGTGCAACTTTCAGTGTGATTCAAGCCCTTCTTGTCATCTATCATCATGGGGAATGTGAAGTCACTCGCCAACGAAACGGACGAACTGGCAGCCCTCATAAATAACCAGCGTGTGTACAGGGAGTGCAGTATGCTCTGCCTCACGGAGACGTGGCTACATGGGCAGGGGCGGAAATCCCGGGGGGGACAGGGGGGACATGACTCCCCCTTCAGTAAAGCTGTACCCCCCTAGAATAATTTGAGACACAATTAATAATTTTTGAACAATGCAGTAATATTTATTGAAAGCACAATGTAAGCGGTGCTCATTATAATCGCGCAATAATGTGCTATTTAAATCTTAAAAGATTTAGTCCCCCCCCTCCCATTCCTAGTAGCGGTATATCCCACACTCTTTCCAACGGGCCGGGCTGCTTGGCAGCAATAGCAGCGTGTGGCTGGAACCGCTGCCCACATCGCGCATCGCAGGGTAAGATGTACACTCACACAGACACAGTTTAACTTACACAAGTTACAACACAACCCATTTACTGTTACAACAAGCCCCAGGTCCAGGCTGATAATATAAAGTGTCTGTAACATTTCTCCTGCATTGTTCAAAAGCCTACTCAATTACGAGTGCTGCTAAGCTAAAAGCTAATGATTAAGCTCAGAGTTTAGTGATAGTCAGAGTGGACAGGAGAGAAAGAAGAGGGAGAGGACAGGACAAGAGCAGTCAGTGGCGGAGCGGCTCGTAGCTAATGGGTACCTGTCTGTAGGCTCTCCTCCTGTCAGTGAGACAAACATGAAAGACGTGCAGACGAGGAGCGGTCATTACGCACAACTATTACACACGGTTGTGACGGAGCGTAGCTAATGGGTACCTGTCTGTAGGCTCTCCTCCTGTCAGTGAGACAAACATCAAAGACGTGCAGACGAGGAGCGGTCATTACGCGCGACTATTACGCACGGTTGTGAGGTGCGCAGCGACAGATCTCACAGCACACTGTTTATAAATCAGTTTACCAGTTTAATTGCAGGAAATGTTTAGTTTTAGTTTTAGTTTAGTTAGTATAGACATTCACTCTGCCTGTTGGAGTGATAGAGAGATTAAAGATTAAAGAGATTAAAGCGTCAAATTGTGGTAAAAGATGCTGTATAAAAGACAGGCTACAACTTTTTTT